TACTGTACAGCATTGTGCTACTGCACATCTCTTCTCAACTCTGCATTCAGTGATGCCATGTTGGTAACTTGAATCAGTGGTTGGGGGGTATTTGCACCACGGGAGTTGGCAAATGCTGCAAATCAAGCCTCCTTCCCACACAGTCCCAGCTGACAAACTTTCACCAGCACACCACTGGCAGATGACCAGCTGTGGTAACTTCACAGAAAGCAGGAGATGAGACATTGGGACATGCTGTCTACCCTACTAAGCCAGCATTGGCTGAAACCATCACAGTAGCTGAGACATGAGGACAATTAGCTGTTAATTCTCTGCCTCAAATGACTTCCCTGACAACCTTTTGGAATAGGTTATATAAAGCAAGGTCATAGACTTACAGAGCATTATACTGTTAAAGCTGGACAGGACCTTTCTGAAAATTCAGAGGAAAAAGGTACAAAATGACCTCCTATAAAGCCCCAAGAACACATACACAAAAGCCCATCATATAGAGTTCCATGATTTATTTACTCATTCTCCTGTGTTGGACTTCAGGTCCAAAGTTTCTCATTATAAATAACGCAGCATATCTCTTATTATTGCGTTTAGATAGCTTCTTAAAAGCTAAAGGTACGGATCTAAAGGCATGATATTGTTTTGGTTCTTGATAAATCTGGCCAAATGGCCTTCTAGAAATGTATCAACTTACACATCCATTATCAGTGTGCATGCAGGCCCCTTTCACCTGATTGTTCCAAGATTATTAGGGCATTTCTATGTTGTTGTTGTTGCTTTTTATAGGTATATTCTTTTTAATTTATAAAGTAAGCTCGGCTGCTAATCAAAAGGTCAGCAGTTCAAATCCACCAGCCATTCCTTGGAAACCCCATAGTGCAGTTCTGCTGTGTCCTATAGGGTCTCTATGGGTCAGAATTGACTCAATGGCAACAGGCTTGTTTTTTTGTTTTGTTTTGGTATAGAAAAATTAGAAAATAAACAAAAAGAGGGAAATTAAAAATTGTATGTAGACCCAGTACTCAGAGATAACCACATTCAACACCTCAATGTATTCTTAATAGACTTTTTTCCATAAATATTTATTTGATTTTTTTTCCAAAAATAAGATTAGTATATAAGCATCATCTGTTGTGATTTGCTCTTATGTGGACAATAATAAAGACAATAATATTTTGAGTATATTTTCATTTCAAAAAGCATTGATTTAGAGCATTGTAATCAATGGCTGAACTGTGCTCCACTATACAGATATATACATGTACTCTAATGTATCATAGCTACTACCACTGGGCATTGTTTTCAAGTCATTATTCTAACTGTCACTGTGGTGAAAATTTGTACAGGTAAATTTAATCATCTACATAAATCTTAGTCATCCATTTACATTAAATTCCTAGAATTAGAAACGCAGAGTCAAGGGTTTGTATTTTTAAAAGGCATATTATCCTCCAGAAAGGTTGTACAGATTTTCATTTCCACCAGCTGTGCATGAGAATTCCTGCTCTTTAGTCTTCATCAACCCTGAGATTTTTAGAAAATCTTTTCCAATTTGATATGGGAATAGTGATGTCTCATTAGTTCACATTGCATGTCTGATTATTACTGAGATTGAACTTTTTAATATATGCTTATTGGCTATTACATTCCTTTGGTAATTCATCTGTATTATTTGCTCATTTTTTGATTGATCTATTTGGATTTTTCTTACGGATTTAAAAGAATACTTCAAATATTAAGAATATTTGTTTATGATACATATATGTATACATATACATGTATAATTTTTTCCTGTTTATCATCTGTCTTTCTGCTTTATGATTCCACTTGGTTTTTGAGGTACAGACAATTTTATTTATGCAATTAAGTCTTTCTCTTGTGCTGTCTTTTTTGTCATGCTTAAAAGTCTGCCTCCCAAACATTATGCAAATCATTACATTTTCTTCTAGTATTTTTATGAATTCATTTTTCCCTTTCATGTAATTTTTACACAGAATTATGAATGCTGTGAAATATGACAAGGAACTGTGCCTTTACTTTTTTTCAAGAATTTAGCTCGTAGTTTTAAGTTCCGTTTCATTTCTAGACATTTGCAAGGTCTACGAGTCCCAAAACAATGTTAAGTGATAGTATAATCATAATGCTTTATTGCAAATAGATTTTTGCTTTATCTTAGGGAAATAATTATGGCTGTGGGAAAATTCTACAAGGATTCTTGTTTGTAATAACAATACACGAGCATCATTCTAATACCCAATAACAAAGCATTTGTTAAATGGACTATTTCTCCATCATTCAGAATTATGTTGTAGAAGAATATTTAATAAAGAGGAAAGATATTCGTGACGTATTGTTAATTTTTAATTAAATAATATTATAACACTAAATTTGTACTTGTAATAATTTTGTAATGATTTTGTATATTTGTATACGAAAAAGACTGGAAAAGGTAGTGATTTAGGTGGCTATTTCTTGCTGCGAGATTGTGCATCATTTTTATTCTCTGTGCTTTTCTGCATCTTCCAAATTTTCTATCATGCACATGTACAGTTTTTGTAATCAAATTTAAATATCACTGTATCATAAAACAAACGTACTCTTTCTAAGAAATTATCATTTTATTCCTAAAAGTCTTATTTTTTATATCGGAAATGAGTGTTGAATTTTATCAAATGCTTTTGCAGCCATCTGTTGAGGAGTTGTGTGGGTTTTCCGTCTGACCTGTTGATCTCAACCTATTGATCTGAAGTACTTACTATATTAACAGATTTCCTAAAAATAAACCATCCTAAAAGAAGCCTTAATTTGTTCAATTATACCAGATTAATTTAATCCTGGGAAGGCTTTGGGTTTCCTCCTTCCAGGAGTAAGGGGGAGAAGCTAGGACCTTCGAATATTTATTTTACCCTTTGACAAAACCAGCTTATCCTTTTATAAAACAGTTTTTTACATGTGCATCATATTGTTTGAGCCTGTGACAAATGCAGGGGGATATTCTTGTCTCATTTTACAGACAAAGAATGAGAGGTCCAGAACAATTAAATAATGATGTAGCCAGAAAGTGGCAGAGCTAGAAAAAGAACCCAAGCTTTGACATACCTCTCACCCTCTATATCTCATAGAAGCAAACACCACCAAGCTGCCCTTTCCATTGATAGGGATGGCTAACGCATTATCGCCACCTCCCTTGCTGTCAGGAGATGAGAAGACTTCCTGCTTCAGATACTTACACACCAATCATCACAGTCAGAGCCTAGAACTGGTTGGCTCTGGTAAGGTCTGGGTTGTTCATAAAGAGAAGGAAGTCTGGTTACCACAAAGATGTCACTGGGCAAGAACCCCATCTGCAGTGGGGTCTGTGTGGCCTTCTTCGGCCTCTACAGTGACAGAGACACTTAGAAGACTCCTAATCCTCAGGCTGAGGGCCTGGTTAACCAGGGGCCTGCTGACGTGTCACAGACCCTCAAACCTGCCCTTAATGAGAGAGGTCCTCTTCCAAAATGATCATTCAATATCTTTACATACCCTGCCCATCCACCCCCAATCCACACACTTCTTATCCTCACCCTTCGTGAGGCTTTTTTGTGTCTCCAGAAAGTACTAGAGTTGCCTTCCCTAATAAGTTCCTTCTGACTAAACCCACCGTTCCATCTCCACAGGCGTGAGCTTTAGGTAGGGTGACCAGCTGTACCTGCTGCCCTGGACGTCTAGTTTACACTGGGGTCCTAGGATAATTGTTAATAGTGTCCCCTTGCACTCTCACATATCACCGTGGCCATGAAGAATCAATTGGGGTGGGGAGAAGAGAACGAGGCCCAAGATTTAGGATCAAAGCCCTCTCTCATAGCCCCAGCCACTCCATTAGGAAATCCTGTTTGCTCTACTTTCAAAGTATTTTCCTCCAGCCACGATACCACTGAGATTCTAAACACCATAACATTTTGCACACCCCTTGCACACCCCTTTCCCACCTCAGCCCAAAGTCTATTTTTGAACACAGCATGCAGAGCCATCCTTTTACAGCATAAGCCCGAAAATGCCACCTCTCTGGTCAGAACTCCATAATGGCTCCTTGTTGCCCTCAGTCCTTACAATGGCCTATAATGCCCTTTGCAATCTGCTCCCTCCAACCCATGACTGCGACTCTCTCCTCTCTGACCTCATCCCTATTATTCTCTCATTCACTAGGTCTGCTCTACCCACACTGACCTCCTTGGTCATCTTCATACACTCCAGCCACACTCCACCTCTGGGCCTTAGCACTGGCCGTTCCCTCTACCTGGAATGCTCTTTCCCCAAATATCGTCTCTGTGGTTATTTCCCCTCTCCTTCTTAGTCTTTGCTCAAATGTCACCCTCTCCATGAGGTCTACTCTGAACACCCTATTTAAAACTGTACCACCTCCCCCAAACTCTTCATTCCCCCTTAACTCATTCTATTTTTCCTTCATAGAACTAATCATTTTCTAACAAACTATATATTCTTTCCTTACATATTATGTTGACCTTCTGTCTTTCCCCCTATTGTCTAAGTTCTACAAGGGCAAAGATTTCTATCTGTCTTACTCACTGGTTTATTTTAAGTACCTAGAACAGTGTCGGACACATAATAGACGCTCAATAAATATTTCATGAATAAACAAATAAATGGAAGTCCAAAATCAATTCTCCTGAACCAAATCCATACTCTCTGAGCCTCATTCTCAAGATCACCATCATCGTGACCATGTTGCAAGCCTTGATTCTGAGCTACATCTAGGAAACACCACAGTGCTTATCCTGGAGTTTCCTGGAGGATCACACTGTCATCTATGCAACCCAGTTTATGTACCTAGAAAATAGTGAGAAGGAAAAAGCAATCTCCTCCCCAAGAGATATGTGTCTAGTCCCTGTAAGAAGGCCTATGTGGATTTACACACACTCTAAGTGGCCCCCATGTCACTAAGTGCCCTACTCCATGCCAGGAGAGGGAGAGACACAGTCTTGGGGACAAAGGCTGGATGGTACCTGTGGCTTCATGTCCTCTTCGTCCTTGTAGTAGTAGAGCTGCTGTGTCCTCAACACAAAGTACCGCTGCTGCCAGTTCTTCACGATGGACCTCTGCTTCTTCAGCCAGCCCATCTTGATGGGCCTTTCCAGCGGGTTGAGGGTGGACGACGAGTGAAAGGCCGCCATCTGCACGCCAGTCATCACACTCTGGGACCGAGCTATAGAGAGGAACAGACAGGCAGACTGACTGAGGGACGTGAAGAAGTGTGCAAAGTGGGGGAGGAGAGGCAAGAGAGAAACTCCCAAAGGGGCTGAGGAGCCAGGTGGGGCCACAGACAGGTCCACCTCAAAGGTCCAGATCTGTATCAGAGAAAATCCCCCATGACCCGCAGAGGCAGCTCAGGGACCTGCTCCAGAGAAGGGCTGGATGGAGGCGGAAAAGGAGGCGAGAGCCGGTGGCCCAACGTACACGCAGTCCAGCAGCTGATGTCGGCCCCCTCATTCTGCAAAGCGAAACATTGGCTGGAGCCTTCTAAAGAGGAAGTGGCCGCAGCATCTGACAAAAAGGTGCTTCCTTTTTCCTGCGTGGGAGTCAGTATCTGACAAGAAAGAGGAGAAAATAATGTCTTGTTCTGAGGGTTAAGGGTGAGTCCCACGCAGCTGCAGAGGCAGCCGGAAGCTGCCTGGGCATTCTTCCACAGCGGCTCATTTGAGGAGGAGCTAGTTGTGTTTGCGCTGACCTCACTTTGAAATATAGTCCCTCCCCGAGAGACCCCACTACAACCCCTGACCCCTGGCTTCGCAGCCAGTATGCAGAAGTTGGCACCTCCCGAACGTTCCTGCCAAGTGTCCCCTGCCCCGTGAGAGTGTTTATAGCACTTTATGCGGCACCTCACCACAGCTGCCGTCCTATTACATTTTCAGTTAAGCTGTCACGTCCTGTGGCTGACAGCGCACAAGCATTGGAGAGGGAAAAGAGTCTACCGACAAAACACAGAAGCAGAATTTGAATTCAGACCCCTTGGTCCACTGCATGGTGTCACTGGTTTTTGTTTTCAGATAAGAGTCCTGCCTGTCATTGGATGAAGTCGAGGTCTGTACCTCCACATCTCGTCTCCAGGGTAGCTCCCATCAAGACAACGCTCTCCTTTCTTCATCCTGCCTGTGGTCCCAGCTCAATCTTTTCTTCTGAGACTCATCTTCCTTCTTTCTCAGCCGGTTCAACAAAGCCCTGAAGACCACATTGGAGCTCCACGTCCCCTTTGTGCTGCCACTCCACACTTAATTCCTTCAGCCAACCACCAGTTGCCATTGAATTGATTCCAGCTCATGAAAACCCCATGTGTGTCAGAGTAGAACTGTGCTCCATAGGGTTTTCAGTTGATGATTTTTCAGAAGTAGATCATCAGGCCTTTCTTCTGAGGCCCCTCTGAGTGGACTTGAACCTTCAACCTTTCAGTTAGCAGCCCAGTGCTTTAACCATGTGCACCACCCATGGGTGATTTTGTAATTCCTAGCCCTGGGCAATACCCAGTGTCTGCGTTCCTCTCCTTCAGCTAAGTGTTGCTGGAGGAAGTCTCCATCAATCCCTTTATCCAACTCTTATCATTCCTGAACATTCACAACATCAACTCCACTCTCATCCTATTTTGTCTTACTTGGTAGAGACGTGGCTCATCCATTCTTGACTCTGTAACCATGGGTGAATTATGCAACTTCTCTGAGCTTTGGTTTCTTTGCTTGTAAAACTAAGATTATAACTAAAAAAGCCAAACTGTTGCCATCAAGTAGGTTCATGGCAACCTCACGTGTCAGAACAGAACTGTGCTCCATAGTGTTTTCAATAGCTGTAATCTTTCAGAAGTAGATCGTCAGGCCTTTCTTCCAGTGCACCTGTGGGTGGATTTGAACTGCCTTTCTGCTAGTAGTCATCTGCTTAAGCATTTAAGCCACTCAGGGACTCCTAGGATCATAATAGTCCCTGTTATATGGAATTGTTGTGGGGTTAAACAAACTAACATATGTAAGGATCTCTGATGGTGCCATGGTTAAATGCTTGGCTGCTATCTGAAAGGTCAGTGGTTCAAATCCATCCTGTGGCTCTGTGGGAGAAAGACATGGCGATCTGCTCCCATAAAAATTACACTGTAGAAAACCCTATGAGAAGGTTCTACTTTGTCACATGGGGTCACTATGAGCCAGAATTGACTCAATGGCACCCAACATCAATAACAACGTGTATAAAGCACTTAGCACTTAGCTTTGTCGAAGGTAAGCAAATGTTACTCTTAATGTTTTTATCAACAGAGACTTTATTTCCTACTGCCAAGATGGAGATTGTCTTTGGGAGCTTCTTCAACTTCCTTCTTCACTTCAAAATGTCATTCCGTCATCAAGCTTGCTCTCTTCCTTCATTCCTATCTTTAATGCACTTAATTGCTAACTTCTCCCCATTGCTTTTGATTCCTTTCTATTTCCTTGTTGGCCTATGGTCCTCAACCTTTATTTGTGTTCATGGCATACTTTCAAATACCAGACCTTTATACGGCGTTACAGTCTTTCTTCCACTGACTCTAACGGCATCCAGAATTATCCCTCTATTTACATGCTTGGTCCTGTGGCCCTGTGTTGCTGTCCAAAAAGGGTTCTGCCCTAACTGGGCTCCCTTGACCCTGACATCCTAACATGCTAGGTGTCAGCTTGCAATCACTTCTCACCACCCACCACTGATCTGTACAAATGGCACTAGGTTGAACACTAAGTTGCCAGATATACTCAATTCAGCCTCCCATTTGACAGACATCATCATAAAAGTGCACACACTCAGTTGTAGCAGAAAGAAATTTTGCATTTTGATAACGATTTGTCGGCGTGCCTGCAAAGGGTTGCCTTTACATCAATGTGTCCAGGTTAAGAACTTTGAGATCTGGTTCCTGAGTTACCCACTATCTTTAAAGTCCTTCATTTGCAACTCAAAGAACAGCCGTTCTGGGACTGATCCCCTACTCTGTTGGTGGTGGTGGATGCCATCAAGCCGATTCTGGCTCATAGTGACCATACAGGGCAGAGTAGAACTGCACCACAGGGCTCCCTGGCTGTAATCTTTATGGGAGCACATTGTCAAGTCTTTTCTCTCGCGAAGCCACTGATAGATTTGAATCATTGACGTTTTGGTTAGCAGCAGAGTGATTTAACTACTGCACCACCAAAGCTTCTTATCCCCTACTCTAAAAACCAAAAAAAAAAAAAAAAAAAAAAAGTTTCTGTCGAGTCGATTCTGACTCATAGCAATCCTATAGGACAGAGTAGAACTGCCCCATAGGGTTTCTAAGGAGCAGCTGGTGGATTCAAACTGCCGACATTTTGGTTACCAGCTGAGCTTGATCTGAAGGAAGGGTAGGAGGGCTTTTGGCAGGAATGCAATGGGGAGGAGGGAATTTGAAGGATAACTCTGTACCTCTTTAGGCCAAAGACTGTACCTTGCAAAAGTTCATATCTGTTCTAGAAAGAGGGCAGATTGAGGACAGAAATTGAAAAGCTGGTTTACACACAAAATTTCTGAGGAAAATGGAAGAGTGAGGCATCCTGGCTGATGCAGGTACCTTCTCCCCTACCTCAACAGAGCAGCTTCAGTGCAGCCTAGCCTGATGTGACTCACCTCAGTGACCATCTACCAGAAGCAACATCAGACAGCGGAGTGAGACCACTCCTAATAGCAGCGGTCATGAGAGGCCTTCACGTGGCTTCTCAGGTGATGCCACCCCCGGAGACCCACAGAAATAGTTGGGAACACTATGTGAGACACAAGAAGCTGAAGGTCTCCAATAGTGTTGAAGCAGTGTTGGGTGGGGGGAACAGGAGCCAAGAAGACCCTGTAGAGAATTAGCTCAGCAAAGAAGAACTGTGTTGTTGGAATGTTATTTTATGCTTAGTTCTGGGACATTTTCTATGCTTTATTGTGGCAAAAACAAAACAAAACAAGAACCCTCTCCCCAGAATGGCCTTTTATTTTATTATGTTAATAAAGGATATTGTGTTCTCCAACCTGGCCAAGGGGAGATTAGACGCACTTGTGTCTGCCTACATATGATCAAGGGCTTGATTGACCATCTTCCGTATTTCAGAAATGATACCACTAACCCACACAACCAACCAGTTTCCTGAGCGCCTGTTACCATCCTTACCATATCTGATATGACTACACACACTGGGCCATGCATTGCAAGTGTGAGAGTGTAGATGGCCTTGTGCAAACCTCGTCACTACTGGAAATTCTGCCCAGACACTGGGAATATTGCCTCTGGGGTAAGCCAATGACTGAGCAGGGGAGCTCTCGATCTCCTTACCTGCCCCCTCAGCATTGTGTACCAGCCAGGCCTATCATGAGATGATTCAAATATTGGAGAAGAAAGCCTGGTGGGCCTTGAGTTTCACTTGGTTTTGACTAACTTTCCTTGTTAGTTCCTTTGAACAGTCTCTCTTCTTTGTGGGTGTGACTTGTTCCTGGATAAACAAAGAAAGCTGTTACTATGAATAGAGCTGCTTCTCATAATAAAAATAATCATGCAGGCTTTGCTGTGAGTCAGCCATTGTATGTTGAGTGTACATTCCCAGTCCTTTGAGAATGAACCTTGCTGTGGGCTGGAGAGGTGGCCACAGGCAGACCAGGGAAGCACGCCAGGAAGGCAGTTGCTAAGCATTTACAGAATACTCTAGGAAAATTGGAAATGAGGGTCTTAGCGATCTCAGAAACCCACCCTAACAGGAGTAGAAGGAGCAAGCCCCTAGCACTGTGCTGTTCAAATGTAGCCACTAGCAATGAGTGGCTACGCACATTTAAATGAATTAAAATAAGTTAAAATTCAGTTCCTCAGTCACATCACCCACATTTCAAGTGTTCAGTAGCCCTGAGGCTATCACATTGGACAGCACAGACAGAAAACATTTCCATCATCACAGAAGGTTCTATTGACCAGGACTTCCTAGAATCTGCACGTTATCATTACTAAGCATGGGACAAAATGGACCGTAAAGATGGGGCAGCATTTCATCCAGTAAAGAAGTCAAGCTGGAGGGTCCAAAGAAGTGGCTTATGGTGTCAGTGTGAGAAGTTCAACCTTGATCTGAGAGGTAATAGGAGCCATTTCATGTTCCTGAGCAAGGGAGGACCAGGATAAAATATGGATGAGTCATGTATTTGGACTGATGCTGAATTTTAGTCTGTAGGTGAAGGAGAATACCAGAAAGAAAAGAAGAAAAATTGAAGAAATGTCACAATCCCAGGGAAGCCCTTTCTGCAGTAGAAGTTAGTTACCTTTTGCCTCGAGTTAGAGCAAGAGAAAATTAAATAAGGAAGTATGAACAGGGAAGTCAGCTGAGGAAACTTTATCACTTCCTTTCTTCATCTTCCCATCTTCTCACCCTAACCCCCAAAAAAATCCATCACAAAATCTTCTAGGGTCTACCTTTGAGGTATTTCTTACATCTACTCTCACCTTTCCTTGGTTTAAATTCTATTGTAGATGACTCTAAATGTGAAGGTGAGGTGTGAGTAGTCAATTCAAAACTGGTGGGAACTATTTAAGGCATTTTCCTTAATGTGTTGATACAAAAGTGAAGTAGTCTGGGAACCATGTTTTAATGGAATTTGTAAAAGGACTGGAATTTATATGGCTTCACTTCAGACCTCTCTCCTGACACCCACCTATCCAACTGCCTACATGCACTTCAGTAGGGAGTCATAAACTCACTATGTCATTAGCCAAACCTACCACCTTCACTCTCTCTGCTTCCCATCATTCCTCTGCCTTGTGCCAACATACACACACAAACCTGCTTTCCCTCCACTGCTCTCTGTGATGTGCTGTGAATGACATCCTCCAAACCAGATCACAGGATCGGCCTGGGTCTTGCTGCCACCCCGTTCCTCTTAGTCATCATGATCCACAGTTCACTCTCTCTCTTTCTTTTTCTGATCCATCCCTCTTCTCTACCTTCATCTGGGTTGGGCCCTCTAATCCTCTCAACTAGATTTCTACAATAGTCCCCTCACCTGTCTCTCTCCTATGAGTCCCACCTCCTGTCCATTGAGGACATCGTTTATGGATATGATCCTTCCAAAACACAAATCTGACCCTGTTACTCTCCTGCCTAAAAGCTTCCACTAACCCACGAACACCTTTGTCCTAAAAGTTGAAGTCTAAGGCCTAGCAGGGGGTTCAGTGTTCTTTGTGGTTTTCCAGGTGCATTTCCTGCTCTTCCTCCATACCCATCCTGCGCCTCACCCAAGACAATATGCCATCCTCTCTGCTGGAATGTCCTCTCCACCCACACCCACCCACACCCCAACTTGACCTCTTGGAAAACTCTTGCTCATCCTTCAAAACTCACTTGAGGCCACACCTCCTGTGAGCAGCCTTCCCCAGCCCAGCCAGATCTGGTGCTGTGTTTCCTCTTCACTCTGAACACATCCATCACAGCACTTATCACCTTGCTTGGGAACTATTTGCTCACACTCTGTCCCACCTCTTGACCTTGTACTCTAAGAAGACAAGGGAGACTTTGTACTGATGTGTTGGCCTTAACCATCCCCATCTCCTCAGCATCTAACGTTGCGCCTGATGAAGAAAAGGCGGGATGAGGTAGCAGAAGGTGCAAAGGCCTCTGTGTATGCAGCCTTGGACTAGTCATGTGCTGCCTCTGAGTCAGTTTCCTCCTCTGTGAAATCATGCTCATAATACATACCTTGTGGGGTGGTTAACTTGTAAGGATTAGGGGTGATAAGTGGACAGGCCCCAGCCAGTCCCTGTCTCTTAATACATGTGCATTAAATGGAGACTGTTGTTATTATTCCCTGTGCAGCACAAACAGTTAATGGGCTCAGCTGCTAACCGAAAGGTTAAAGGTTTGATTCCACCCAGAGGTGCCTCAGAAGAAAGGCCTGGTAGCCTACTTTTGAAAAATTGTCATTGAAAATTCTGTGGAGTATAGTACTACTTTTACACACATGGGGTTGCCATGGCAACTGTTTTTTCTTCTTTTTAATTGTTATTATTAACTTTGTTATTACAGTATGGGCTCTATTTTATGTTGAATGTAAGAAAAGAAAGATGAAGGAAAGGAAGGATGAAAGGAGGGAGGGAGAGGGAGAAAGGAAAAAGGGAAAACTAGTTGGACATTGTACCATATTTCAGGTGTAAATCCAGAGGCCTGAATTCAGATAGTGGCAAAGGAAAAAACATGAGAGGCAGTTCTGAGGCAGACCAACAGGCCTTGGCAATTGGCTAAACAAGAAGAAGCGTGAGGCAAAGACTTTGTGAGGTTTGCTGTTTGAGTGGCCCGGAGAAAGTAGCCTCCATCCATTCACTCAACACACATTGGCTGAGCTCTTGGTAAGTGCCAGGAATTGTGCCAGGTGCTTGGGATATAATATTAGCTACAACAGCCCTGCCCCGAAGAGCTCACAGACTTGGGAAACCCGTTCCCAGAAGCAAGGAAGGAAGTCCGAGAACAAGGGTGCTTTGGAAAGGCAAGTGAGTCCAGATTGGGGCATGCTGAAGTGTGAGGGTATACTGAGAGCTCTGGGCTTCCCCAGAGTTCTGGTTTTCACAGGTAAGGCCTGTGGATTAAGAAAGTGGTTAGGGGAAAAAAAGAAGTACAATCGAAAGCCAGGAGATTTGAGTGCCATGAAAATCTCAGACCAGAAAAGTAACATAACTGTTGTTGTTGTTGTTAGGTTCCCTTGAGTGGGTTCCAACTCACAGCGACCCTAAGTACAACAGAACGAAATGCTGCTGGGTCCTGCGCCATCCTCACAATCATTGCTATGCTTGAGCTCATTGTTGCAGCCACTGTGTCAATCCATATTGTTGAGGGCCTTCCTCTTTTTCGACGACCCTCTACTTTACCAAGCCTGATGTCCTTCTCCAGGCTCTGGTCCCTCCTGATAACATGTCCAAAGTACCTGAGATGAAGACTCCCCATCCTCCCTTCTAAGGAGCATTCTGGCTGTACTTCTTCCAAGACAGATTTGTTCGTTCTTCTGGCAGTCCACGGTATATTCAATATTCTTCGCCAACACCATAATTCATAATTCTTCTTCGGTTTTCCTAATTTATTGTCCAGCTTTCACATGTATATGAGGTAATTGAAAATGCCATGGCTTGGGTCAGGCACACCTTCGTCCTCAAAGTGACATCTTTGCTTTTCAACATTTTAAAGAGGTCTTTTGCAGCAGATTTGTGCAATGCAGTGTGTCTTTTGATTTCCTGACTGCTGCTCCCATGGGCATTGATTGTGGATCCAAGTAAAATGAAATGCTTAACAATTTCAGTCTTTTCTCTGTTTATCATAATGTTGCTTATTAGTTCAGTTGTGAAGGTTTTTGTTTTCTTTACGTTGAGGTGCAATTCATACTGAAGGCTGTAGTCTTTGATCTTCATCAGTAAGTGCTTCAAGTCCGCTTCACTTTCAGCAAGCAAGGTTGTATCATCTGCGTATCAAAGGTTGGTAATGAGTCTTCCTCCAATCCTGATGCCACATTCTTCTCATATAATCCAGATGTCCAGAAAGCAAGACAAGCCTGAGCACAGAGGCAACTAGCTCTGAGGGAAGCAGCTTTAACTCGAGGCTATGAGTATAAACGTAGACACAAGACAGAAGAGGGTACCATTTGTCTAGGGACTTTTAGGGGAGCTTGTACCAGGTGAAGAAGGAGGAGCAGCAGAAAATCCATTTTATCCCCATAGGTTGTGAATGGAGCAGGAGGCTGCTGCCCAGAAGGGGAGTGGAAGGAGAGAGACTGTCATCTTATGCCAAGCAAGGGCCAGGGCCACTTCTCGCCCATCCAGCACCCCCGGGGCAGGAGCAGGTCTTGGTGAGCAGATGATGTTTTGGGGTGAAGAAATAGGGTCCTCTGACTCTGGATGGCTGCAGTCACACGCACCAGGTCACAGGTTGGTGAGAGAAGCACTGGCTGCATTCCAGCCCTGCTCATCCTTTCTGCTCAAGACCTAGGTGCGGTGCACGGCGTGAATCAACTTAAGTCTTCGGCAACAGTTCACTTACGGTTATAAAGCACCGTTTGAAAGCAAGAGGTCCTTTTTCAAGAAAGGTTCAAATTTCTGATCCTAGAGGTCTCTGTCAGGATGGTCTGTTTGACTCCAAAAGGGAGCTGAAGGCTCCCTAGCTTCAGGGACAAGCATCTTTGAGCTTTGGTTGCCTGTCTGCAAGTTATAAGATGCTAGAGCTCTAAAGAGGATCTTGAGGGCAAGCACCATGTCTTATTCATCTTAGTATCCTGAGGACCCATCACAGTGTCGGGCTGAGAAAATTAACTGGAAGGAGTGAAGAGAGAAAGGAAGTGTGTGTATGTGTGTATGAGCACACGCACATGAACTATATGTGGAGAGAGAGAAAATAATGTTGAATGATGTTCCTGTAAAAAAACAAAAAAACTCATAGGATCACCTCTCTTTAATAAAGAAAGTATATTTGGATTAGAA